CATTTTAGACAGTGCCTTTCATAACCTCAGTATGCTGCAAAGTGTTTTGCAGTCTTTGAGCTACTTTTGAAATGTAGCCGCTGCTGTAGTGTTACGAAAAGAGGTATATGGCAAGTTTCTAAAATATCAACAAGATAAATGATCAGATAACTTTAGTGATGGCTGAGAGGTGAATGTTTCCCAGAACATCTGTCTCTTTTATGAATGCGCCTTTTTATATTTGCCAGACAAGACAGATACAACTTTGGTTTAGAGGCTTACTCAAAAGGAGGCATCTCCAGCAATGCAGCACTCCCCTCAGCATTGACATTGAAAAGGCCTTCTCCCTTATTGAGAGATAGTAAGAACTGCTGATGCTGGAGTCTGAGATAACACAGTATGGAGCTGGAGGAACACAGCAGGTCAGGCAGCATCAGAGGAGCAGGAAAGCTGACGTTTTGGGTCAGAGCCCTTCTTCCTGAAATGGGGGAGGGGGAAGGGAGCTCTGAAATACATAGAGAGAGGAAGGCTTTGTTTCTGTAGGTGGCTTTTTATCCCTGTCAGGAGATAACCTGGCTTTACTGGGGATTTGGGATGGAGAGGGCTCACGGTAACAGTGATCATGGTATTCTAACAGTCGTAAGAGGTAGCCTTGATGGATCAGCAGGTCTTTCCCTCTCTGTTTGCGACATATGTTTGTAATTTATGAGCTATTCAGTTTATATTAGGTCTTGTTCCAAAGATCTCTTTTGAAGAGGTTTATTGGTCTTGTAAATTCTGGATCCGCAACAAAATAAGCATCAAAGTTGCTACACACAACAAACTTTAAGTAATGGAACTATATTAATGAATTTCAAAACCATCTTGTTAGGTGTTGCAATGTACTAGAAATAAGGCAGTAAAACATCATGAGTGGGATAGCCCTGCATGAAAATGGCTGCTATTTGACCTCATAAATTATTGCAATCCCAAGTATTTCATTGTATGTAGAGTGATCTGAGGCATTTCAGCTGTTTAGGAGTTCAGCTCTGGAATTCCCTCCCTAAATCTCTCAGCCTTTGTCTTTTGCCTTTAAGACACTTGTTAACTACTTAACTAACTTGTTAAGACACTACCATTCAGAGCAAGCATTTGGTCACCAACCTTATTACCTCATGTATGTTAGCATCAGTTTTTTTTTGTCTGATGTTTCTTGAGTTATTTTACTACATGAAAAGTGCAGCCTAAACCTATTGCTTTCGCTGTATCTGGGAATACGATAAATTAAAATATAATTCTCATTGTTCAATTGAATATTTCCTTGTGTCTCAGAAATCCCAGTAGTGACTCCACTGAAGTCAAAACAAAAAATGCTGGAGATCACAGCGGGTCAGGCAGCATCCATGGAGAGAAAGCAGGCTAACATTTCGAGTCTAGATGACTCCTCTTCACAGCTGAAGTGAAGTTTGGAGGGGGCAGCATGATGCAATAGTGGGAGGGGGTTTGGGGGTTGAGTGGAGTGCTGGGGGAGACAGGATGTTGGTAGTTCAGATTAAGTGATCAGAATGTGAGAAAGGCAGAATAATGATGTGTCTAACTGCCGGACTGGAAAGAACAGACAGTCCCACTGGGGTGGGGGAAGGGGAAAGAGGGTGACAGAGAATGTAAGAAGCAATGCTAAGAGAAAGGGAAAGAATGGGTACACAATTTGAAGGTGTTGAACTCAATAATGAACCCAGAATGATTTTCTGAAGAAGGGTCTAGGCCTGAAACGTCAGCCTTCCTGCTCCTCTGATGCTGCTTGGCCTGCTGTGTTCATTCGGCTCTACACCTTGTTATCTCAGATTCTCCAGCATCTGCAGTTCCTACAAGCTATGTAAACTGCCTAGTTTGAAGGTGATAACACTTGCGTGGATCTGGAGGAACACAGCAGGCCAGGCAGCATCAGAGGAGCAGGAAAGCTGCTGTGTTCCTATAGCTTCACAGTGTGTTATCTCAGGCTCCAGCATCAGCAGTCCTTACTGTCTTGTAGTTTGAGGGTGAGACGTTGCTCCTCCAGTTTGCACTGTGATTTACTGGAGCACTGCAGCATGCCGAGGCCAGATGCGTGGGTATGTGAGCAGGATGCTGTGTTAAAATGACTGGCGACAGGAAGGTCGGGGTCAGGCTTCCGCACAGACTGGAGGTGTTCTGCAGAGCGGTCACCCAGTCTGTCATTTGGTTTCTTCAATGGTGAGTAGGCCATGTTGGGTACAATGAATACAATACACAAGTTTGCAGGAGGTACAGGTGAAATGCTGCTTCACCTGGAAAGATTGTTTAGGCCCTTGGATAGTGAACAGGGAGGTGTTGCACCTTCTGCTGTGGGAAAGGGGGATCATGTTTGTGTTCGAGGAATGGACTAGTATGTTCCGGAGAGAATGATCCCTGCAAAATACAAATGGGGAGTGAGGGGAAGATTTGTTTGGTGGTGGCATTCTGCTGGAGTTGTCTGAAATGGTGGAGAATGATCTGTTGAATGTGGAGGATGGTGGGATGAAAAGTGAGGACAAGGGAGACCTGAACACATTGTTGTGAGCGATGGGAAGGGGCAAGCGCAGAAGCGCGGATGATAGGTCGGATGTGGTTGAGGGCCCTGTCTACCACAGTGGGCGGAAAATCACGGTTATGGGAGAAGGAAGTCAGGTCAGCTGTGCTGTTTTGGAAGGTGTACTGCTCCAGCGAATCACAGTGCAAACTGGAGGAGCAACATCTCACCTTCAAACTAGGCAATTTACGTAGCTTCTGGGCTCATTATTGAGTTCAACACCTTCAAATTGTGAACACATTCTTTCCCTTTCTTTTAGCATTGCTTCTTAGATTCTCTGTCACCCTCTCTCCCCTTCCCCCACCCCAGTGGGACTGTCTGTTCTTTCCAGTCCGGCGGCAGTTAGACACACCATTGTTCTGCCTTTTTCACATTCTGATCACTTAATCTGAACTACCAACATCCTGTCTCCCCCAGCATTCCAATCAACCCCCAAACCCCCTCCCACTATTGCAGAGTTGAAGTGGTTCGGACTGGGAGGTGCAGTCATTTGTCGCGAACCGAGCGTAGGTGTTCCACAAAGCGGTCTCCAAGCCTCCGCTTGGTTTCCCCGATTATCCCTCACACCCCCTCCCCGCAATAACAACAAAAACAGAATCCCCCTCGTCCTCACGTACCACCCCACCAACCTCCGGATCCAACGCATCATCCTCCGCCACTTCCACCACCTGTGATCTGACCCCACTACGAAGGACATTTTTCCCTCCCCACCCTTACCTGCCTTCCGGAGGGACCACTCTCTCCGTGACTCCCTTGTCTGCTCCACACTCCCCACCAGCCCCACCACCCTTGGCACATTTCCCTGCAACCGCAGGAAGTGCTACACCTGCCCCTGCACCTCCCCCCTCACCCCCAAGCCAGGCCCCAAGAAAACCTTCCACATTAAACAGATGTTCACCTGCACATTTGCTAATGTGGTATACTGCATCCGCTGTTCCTGTTGTGGCCTCCTCTACATCGGGGAAACCAAGCGGAGGCTTGGGGACCGCTTTGCAGAACACCTACGCTCGGTTCGCACTAAACAACTGCACCTCCCAGTCGCGAACCACTTCAACGCCCCCTCCCACTCCTTGGACGACATGTCCATCCTGGGCCTCCTGCAGTGCCACAACAATGCTGCTTGAAGGTTGCAGGAACAGCACCTCATATTTCGCTTGGGAACCCTGCAGCCCAATGGTATCAATGTGGATTTCACAAGCTTCAAAATCTCCCTGCCCCCAACTTCATCCCAAAACCAGCCCAGCTCGTCCCCGCCTCCCTAACCTGTCGTTCCTCCCACCTATCCCCTCCTCCCACCTCAAGCCCCACCCCCATCTCCTACCTACTAACCTCATCCCGCCCCCTTGACCTGTCCGTCCTCCCTGGACTGACCTATCTCCTCCCTACCTCCCCACCTACACTCACCTTTACTGGCTCCATCCCCGCCTCTTTGACCTGTCTGTCCCCTCTCCACCTATCTTCTCCTTTATCCATCTTCTATCCGCCTCCCCCTCTCTCCCTATTTATTTCAGAATCCCCTTCCCTTCCCCCATTTCTGAAGAAGGGTCCAGACTCGAAACGTAAGCTTTCCTGCTCCTTTGATGCTGCTTGGCCTGCTGTGTTCATCCAGCTTCACACCTTGTTATCTCATCTAGACTCAAAATGTTAGCTTGCTTTCTCTCCATGGATGCTGCCTAACCCACTATGTTTTCAGTTCAGATTCCAGCATCTGCAGTAATTTGCTCCTACATTATCTCAACTGAAGTCATTTCTTTTTTAGAGCTACTTTCTTAATGTTTAAAAAAAAACTGTAGGTTTGATTCCCCTCTTGGCTCATTTAATAGATTTAGGTCTGGTTATGAAGTAATATTCTCCAATTTACAGCTTCATTTTGATTATGGAATTTTACAGCACAAAAAAATACATTTTGCCCATTGTGCTTATGTCATCTCTTTGCAAGAAATATTTAATCTGCGCCACTTCCCTGCATTTTCCCTGAACAATTTTACTTTGCAGCTAGTGATCTGTCTATTAATTTATTTTTGCCACTTGTTGCCATCTGTTTTAATGAATCATTCATTGCAGCTATGTGTCTGCACCAGGTTTTTACTCTTCCTCCAGCTGAAAACGGAAGTGGAGTGTTATTTAGGGCATTGTATGTTGTTACATTTCAGGATGTTACACCATGCCGTGACTTGGTGCAATCTATGTTAAAATTGCCATTGCTTCAGAGAAGTTTTATAGAGTTCCACATACTAAATTTGTTAGCAGAATTGAAGCCCATGGGATTTAAAAGGGCATTGGCAGGCTGAATTTAAGAATGGTAGAAAGGTTGCACATACCAGTGTTGAACAAAAATAGAGTAGTTGCTGGAAAAGCTCAGCAGGTCTGGCAGCATCCGTGAACAGAAATCAGAGTTAACATTTTGGATCCGGTGACCCTTCCTCAGTGTTGAACAGTTGTTTTTCAAGTGTACCAACATGGCCTTTAGGCTTTTCTTCTGCGATCTCTGATCTTTTGATAGGTCAATGACCTAGATTTTAGACACAAAGAACATAATTTCAAAGGTGCGAAAAGTCCAGAATGTTGTAAACACCAAAAAGTACAGTAGAGATATCTAGATGTAGAGAGACTGGTGAAATGAGCAGATGCAAAATGCATGAAATTTAGCACAGGGAATGTGTAACTAATGTTGGTGGAAGATTGAGGGTAGACAAAGTAACATACCGAGGTTAAGGGAGTTGCAGGCGTGAAGAAAGTTGAAAATGTTGGCAGGAAAAGTTGAAAAGGCTCTTAAAGCAGCAAATGGAAACTTCGCAGATGGAGGTTTCGAAGGTGGGGGTGGTGGGAGGAAGAGACAAACAAGTTATACTAAAACTTTTTAGAATCTCTGGTTAGACCCACCTGGGTGAAATGTCTCCAAAACTAGGCACCACATTTTAGGAAGGGTATTGAAGCTTTAGAGCGGGTGCACAGGAGAGTTACTAAAATTGTACCAGCGATAGGGGATTTTTATTTATCTGGAGAGACTGCAGAAGCTGTGGTTATTTAACATAAAACTTCTCCTTAAAGCATTTCTCCTTTATTTTCCTCAAAAGAAACATTAAGGGCATTTTTAATGTAGACGTTTAAAAGTCATGAAAGTTTTAATTGGTTAAGTAAGGTGTTTGTGGTAGAAAAGGTTATTGATAGTCAAATGACTTAAATTTAAAACAATGGGCAAACATTGCCAATAGGGATGTGGTGACAGTTTTGTTCTACACAGCATGTTATGATGATCGAGAGTGTACTGCCTGAGACAGTGATGAAAATAGAATCAATAATCGCTTTGAAAATGGAGCTGGCTGAATACTTAAGGTAAGAATTTTCCAGAGCTTGGAGAATTGTCTCAGTAAAGACTGTTAACCTGAAATTTGAAATGAATTATTAACTGAAAAGACCACATAATGAGATGTCACACAAAAATTTTAAACAAACATTTGACTGTGACAGATGCCAAAACAAAACAAGAATTACTACTGTATCTCCGAAGCATTTATACTTTCAACAAAATCCAAACAGAACACTTTACATTTCTGCCTTTAATTTCAATGACAAATGTTGTTAAACTTGACAGGGTGCAGAAAAAATTTACAAGGATGCGGTTGGCTTTGGATGGTTTGAGCTACAGGGAGAGACTGAGTAGGCTTGGGTTATTTTCCCTGGAGTGTTGAAGGCTGAGGGGTGACCTTTAAAGAGGTTTGTAAAATCATGAAGGGCATGGATAGGGTAAATAGACAAGGCATTTTTCCCAGGGTAGGGGAGTCCAGAGCTAGACGCCGTAAGTTTAAAGTGAGAGGGAAAAGATATAAAAGGGACCTAAGGGGCAACTTTTTCCCTCAGCGGGTGGTGCGTGTATGGAATGAGCTGCCAGAGGAAGTGGTGGAGGCTGGTACAATTACAACGTATATGAATAGGAAGGGTTTAGAGGAATATGGAACAAATGTTGGCAAATGGGACTAGATCAGTACGGGATATCTGGTTGGCATGGACGTTTTGGAAAGAAGGAACTATTTCCCTGCTATACACCTGTCTGACTCTATAATTGAGAATTCATTTTTACATTATGGTTTCAAAAGTAGTCATTCAGTTCTCCTGGGAGCAAATAAGCTTTGTCGTGCTCTCAGGAATCCTAACACATGAACCTCCAGAATACACACACTCGCACTCTCGCACTCACACTCATACTCACTCGCCCTCCCTCTCATCTTCAGACTAGGCACTTTACAGCCTTCTGGGCTCAATGTTGTATTCAAACGTTCAAATTGTGAAGCTTTACTTGTTACTTTCTGATATCATGTCCTCTCTTCCCTCCCCCCATCCTAGTAGGACTGTTTGTCCTTCAAGTCTGGCAGGGGACACACCATTGTTCTGCCATTCCCACATTCTGATCGCTTTATCTGAACTATCAGCATCTTTTCTCCACCAGCACCCACTACCCTCACAAGCCCCTCCCTCAACCAAACTGTAGCATAAATGCTGTGCCCTCCATAGTTCACTTCAACTCTGATGAAGAGTCATCCAGACTTGAAACATTATTTTGCTGTCTCTCCATGGATGCTTGCTGACCTGCTGTGACCTTCAGCGTTTGTTATTTTCAGTTTCAAAAGTACATCATTGGTTGTAAAACAATCTGGCGTGGTGTGAGGCAATGAAAGATGCTATGGTAATACAAAGTCAAAGAATTATGTACCTGAACCCCTAGGTCTGTCTGTTCTACAACACTAACCATTTGATACAGCAATTCATCATTCTGCTAATGTCCGGTGCTCAAACTCAAATATCTTGAACCACAGATGCCCAATAGCAACAGTGCAGTTTCAGTAGTGTTTCAAATGGTACCGGTTGAAGAAACCCAGTTTGAACAGAGTTTTAAAGAGTGTCTGCAAATTCAGCATTCATCAACTGTACTTTCTTGTGCTTCTAAAGAGTATATTTATCCTATGGTGTCCTTTACTACGCTTGCAAAATCATATAATCAGCACATTCAAGTGCCAGTTATTTGGAGAGTAACGCTGTCTGGTCCTTTCGTGCTGCTCATTGGCAGAAAGAACTATAAGCAAGAAAAGTATCGAGTGAATTAGAGGAACTTTGAGTGGGAGAGAATGGTACTTTACTGTGAGCTCTAGTTATTTCAAAGGGGAAGGGTGAGAAGAAGCCTGAAAAAGGGAAAGTATTGTGAACCAAACACTTTGGGGAATTATGTGTTGAGTGAGCAGATTGTTTCACAGTGAAGGGAAGGGGAAATCTTATAGGAAATATTGATGAAAGTGAAAGTTCTGACTGAGCTTTATAATTCACCAGGCTTCAGTGGAGATGGTCCCTTTGCGGTCACAGTTCTGACTGCGATAAATGAATGCTTGAATTAGAAGTTGTATGAAAAGATGATGCGGGCGAAAGAAATAATTTGCATTTCTGCATCGCTTTGCATACTTTCAGGACTTTCCCGAAGTATTATCTAGCCAATGAAGCACTTTTTAAAGAGAAGTCACTATTACAGTGGAGGAAACTTGGCAACCAGTATGCACACAGCAAGATCCCACGTAGAAAAATGGGCTTAATGGCCAGATAATCCTTTGGTGATTCCGGGATAAAGCTTGGCCAGGACACAGTGTGTGACACTACTTTGAATTTGTACCATGTGATCTTTTATGCCCAACCTTAGAGGGAAGATGAAGCCTTGCTTTAATACCCCATCTAAAAGATGGCATCTCTGACAATGCAGCTAGTACTCACAGTAGAGTGCCAGCCTGGATTATGGACTCAGGTCTCAGGATTGAGGATGGGAAGGAGATGGTTAAGACAGGTAGCCAACTGTACAACCTGCTGCTTGGAACTGAATTGATGAAAGAGTCACTGAAACAGCTGACAATCTGGACCAGACCTGTGACAAACCTGCATTTTTCAGCTTCATCTCAACAAGTCAGCAGGATCCCACCTTGATACTAAGCAATCACATCTCTTCAAGTCTCATCAGAGTGCTTTGTCATTGCTTTATAGGGATGAAAGCCTGTTTGCAGAAACTGGCCTGGTGACTGGGGAACCTATAAATACACCTTCTCAGGGGCTTGAGTACTACAGTTGGTAGAACACTCTCCACAGAGTCAGAATGTTGTGGGTTCAAGTGTCACTGTGGAGACGTGAGGCTGCAAAGCTATGATATGCTTTGTAATGTGCTGAGGCTGTGAAAAAGCCATTTTAAAAAACAAAGCCATTTTTAAAAAAAAAGTCTCAAAGGTGAGGAATAAAGTTTTCAAGTGCAATCACCATGTTATATGCACCATTGTATGTTATTGTCATCTTGTGCTTGGGAACCTTTGTTTATTGATTGTACAATTTGATTTTGTGGCTGCACTAAGGTGCAGTGTTTTCACCTAAGCCCCATAGAGATTGTGGTCCAGTGCATGTGCCAATCTGAGGGTAAATACACACTGCTTTGGTGGACTGTCATTCTTCTGTGGTATCAGGGCTGTTGCCTCAAGCCTGGTCGTGTGCGTAAAGCTCTTAGTTTCATCAGTAAGCTCAGGCTCAGCGAAGAGTACAAACCAATGTCGTTTATTTTCACAGTCATCAATTACCTCGTGATAAATTGGGAAGACTCGGATAAAAACACAAACAGCAAAGAAAACGGTAACTGGCTGAATACCATACTCCCATATGCACATTGTGTCATTGGGATCACCCTTGTTCTGTAATCCTTACTTGAATAAAATGCCTATGACCTTCGGCAATGCAAACAATCCCCCATTATTTGCAGTGCGTATCATTTTCACCTGTGATTGGTTTGAAGATGGTCAACAAATTGGCCCATGCAAACTGTGGACATCTATTGCATGTGGCCCTGGCAATATAGTCCCTGCACCCCATCCGTGTTCCCCACTGCTGAGTCGCCTGCCCCCCCAGTAATGAAGGAAATCTCCACTCCTTAAAGGATTTGCAAGTGCTTGCTCCAATCATCTCATCCTTCTCTCTAAACAAAGCTTCCAGGATTGAGCTGGAAACCTCAGAATCAAAGTTTACTCTTCTGAATGCTGCTATGAGCTATTCCAAGAGGAAAAAAAATCAAGTGAACTTTGAAGTATTTTTGATCTTTGTGTAATGTTTCCTTTGGCCAATTATGATCAGATCTAAGAATATTAGGAATAAGAGGCAAAAAAAATGGCTGTTTGCCAGAGAAGGTATTTGGAGAAGGGAGGTTATAGGATGAAAACTTGAGGAAAGCATCCAACCAGAGGTGACAATCTGAATTCTAAAGACAACCCAAAGCAAGTCCAATGTTGACCAGAGGCTTAGACCTTCTTAGAAGACCATCTGGACCCATCTGATCACTGAAAATCATGAGCAATTTGTGCTTCTGGATCCTTGGCCAGAGAGACCTTTCCGTATTCACCTAGCTCTGGATTTGGTAGTAGTTTTGAAAAACCGAGAAAATGGTTAAAAAGGAGGCCTCAGATAACCTCACCCCAACTCGGCCAGGGCCTCAATAACGAGTTAGCACCTTTTACATCTAGCTGGTGCTTTGTCCACAAACCCTGAGTAAAATCATAGCTTGCATGCCCAATCTTGAAACAAAGTAATTCTGGAATTGTCAGTCATCAGACATAAAAGACTGAGCCAATGCTAATCTCCTTTATGCACAAGACGCTAAAGAAGTGTAACTATTTGATCTCCCGCTCCAAACCCTCACAGAGTTGTCAGGATTGTCAAGATTATTTTCTTGTTTTAAGATTCGTTTCAACAACACCTTAATTTTCAGCATTCAGTTATGGAGTATTCTGGTTGGAATGGGGTGGGATTGATGACTGTCGTTCCCTTTTGTCTTCTGGGGAACACAGGTTCGAAGAACTCTCTTGTTGGCATATGTGAAGCTTCATGTAGGTGGGCCTGGAGCTCAGGAGGAATTTGGCACAAGGCCAGAGCTGGTAGGTTTCATATTTGGACAAATCACTTGAAGGAGAGCAATAAGAAAAGGGTCCAGAAGGCAGACTACTTTTTCAGTGTATTCGGTGGCAGGATGCTGGTGAAGTCACACCCCCGTTGTCTACCAGATCCCTAATTACCCTCAGCCAGTGACATTACAGCTTGGAGTCACATATAGGCCAGACCAGGCAGCGGTTGCATTGTCCCTCTTTAAGGATAATAACCAAACAGTTTTGGCTTTTTACAAGTAGGACAGCTTATTAATGCCTCCTGATATGTTGATTGGTGAAAAGACCCTTGAGCAGAAACACCTTAGCCTATTGCAGTGTAGGGGAGAAATTGAATACTGGACATGTGATGGGAATAGTGGTTGTTTAGAATTTGCAGTTGAAAATTTCAGTAAACATTTCGGGCTATTTCAGGATCTCTTGTGCCTTTCTGCAGACATTGCTTTATTCAGACAGTAAGCACACAGCATCGTGCAAAGCTATGCAGTTGCACTCCTAGTGAACTGGCTAGGCTCTTCCTCTGAGTGAGGCTGTGGAGCAGACTCTAGTGATGTAAATCTCATCACTAAGGGATGGAAAACTGAGGTCATAAGTGCAGTGGATAAATTCATGATCCCAGGAGGTTTGTGTTTCTGTTTATTGTGGGATAGCTTTTGCATTCACATCATGGTTGTTGCATCAGTTTCTGCTGTGGCCACTTTGAAATGTTTGTAAATGCTGTGGGACTACCCTGCCTTTCGCCTCATTCTCAGCACCCCTCTGTATTTTGTAGCAGGTGGAAATACCTTGCACACTTGAAGCATAAGGGACGATTTGAAGCAGAGATCACTATCCATCTTTCCGTTGGAAGACATAAATATACAAAGCAAATGGATGGAATCAGGACTGAGAAGTTATACTTACCAGGAAAGGCTGTGCAAACTTTAGCTGCTTCTTGAAAAGAGAAAACCGAGGTTTAATGAAGGGTTTGGAATTACAAAGGGACTTGATTAAGTAGGTGCAAAGGGATTGTTTGCACTTTAGGAGGAGATGGTAACTAGTGACACATTTAAGGTGGTCACCAATAAATCAAATAAGGTGAAATAAAGTCCTATCATTCAGATCTCTGCCACTGCTGAACTTGTTTATCTACGCAAAATGTAATTTATAATATTTCACCGATGGTGTGTGTAGCATTCGCTGACCTTTGGTTTTCAGAAGTGAATAGAAGGAAACTTGGAAAATATTTTTGTAAAAAAGATGAAAAGCATCTAAACAAATATTTATAAAAGAACCTATGATACAGAAAGTGTCCAGAATGTGCAATACTGTATTTCCTAAGTGACCACTGCTCATGTTGCTTACACATCAGTGTTCACTGGCATTCTAGTCATAACGGCATAATGGAAAGAATTATAATTGGTTAAGTGTGACAAATCTTGTGTGTTTGTCATTAAAGAGTATATCATGTAGGATATCATTATACTTGTGAGAAATGTTTTTATTGTCTTTTATTTTAAACTGAAACTGTATGTATGATATTTTTAGATGGTTGGAACGTATCCAGTTGGCTATTCTTATAAACTAGGTTGAGCATTTGTAAGGCCTTCCAAGAATGTAACTCCCCTGAACAGTATGACTTCACTGTAATTCAGAAGAAACATCTTCACTGAGAATGTGAGATAACAAGGTGTAGAGCTGGATGAATACAGCAGGCCAAGCAGCATCATAGGAGCAGGAAGGCTGACGTTTCGGGCCTAGACCCTTCATCAGAACTTTCCACTGACAGGAGTGTACACGACAGAGAGAATTAAATAGATATATTGGCTGATGCCATTCGATAAAGAAGGGTGAGAGAAGGCTTGTGGAATGCATAAAGCATAAACCCATTTAGGCTGAATGGCCTGTTTTCATGCTGTAAATTCCATTTATTAACTTATCCCATGTTATTGCAATGAAGTGCCATTCAACTAAACGGACTGTCCCACACAAGTCAGAGATAAGACTTATTTGAAGGATTGCTTTGTTACACCGTTGAAGGAATTATACAGTGCAATAAAATTCATAAAATGGGCTGTACCATGACCTCAGTGAGTGAGATTATGTGCAGAATATGATTTGCTTTTAACTACCACAAACAGGCAGAGGATTTCATCAAAATTTCACTCCTATGGGTTTATTTTTACTTTAGATTAACCTTTATCAAGGTGTGTTTTTCTTCATTAAAAACATGGAGGATTTAGATGACAACCAAGTCTGTTGTATTGATGTCCAATTACCAGTTTGCGTACTGCTGGCTGGAGAATGGATTAGATTAATGTTTACCAGGGGAGGTGAATTTTTATTGCAGATCACATTAAAATGAGACTGTTGAAGAATGGAATGAAGTAGAAACCTCTAGGCATTGTTCAGTCTTCTCCTGTGCATTGCTAACAGCGAACACACAAGAATCTCTGATTTGTTACAGCATAGAGTAAGGCCATTTGTCCCGTCATGTCTGTACCTGGCTTTCCGAACGAGGAAGTCACTATTCTGTGCGTTAGGATGTCCTCCTGTCCATTAGGTTAGGTTTAGGCCTTTTCTCACATGTACTCAAATACAGGAGGACAGTAAAAAGTTTATAATATTGCCCCATATGACACCATCTTAGGTACAAAGTACAAATCGTAGGTACAACTAGAGAGATAATAAAATGTTGTTATTCATAGTTTGCCTGCTCCCATGAGAATGTTTCCAGTTTTGGAGGAGCATATAACTAGGGGTGATTGATTTAAGAGTTACATCCTCTGTACATTCTTCTTTTTCGGATGGAAATCTAATTCCTTTCTAAAAGTCTTGATTAAGTCTGCCTATGGCACACACACTCAGGCAGTGCAATCCAGATCCTGACCACTCACTGTGTGTGAAAAGGTGGGCAATAAATGCTAGCCCTACCAGTGATGCCCACAACCCATGAGTGAATAAGAGCAAAGCTTAGTAAAAGTGATTCGTTTTAAGGAGCTACTTTAATGGAGGCTGAGAGGTTCAATGGGAGAATAAAGAGCACAGATTCTAGGCAACTGAAGGCAGGGCCACCAGTGGTAGATCTGAGAAAGTGATCACAGAAGCAAGCCTAAGAAAGTGAGTGTGTTCAAGAGGCCAGAATTGAAGGAACTACAGTTCTTGAAATTTGTAAAGTGGAAAGATAGGGAGGGGCAAGTTCACGGAGAACCATGAATATGATTTTGCGACTTCCAGTTTGATGAATTGACAAGCTGGCTTTCTTGCTATGAGAAGGAAGCCATTCAACCCCTTGGAGGCATGGATAGGCTGGATAGTCAGAGCCATTGTCCTAGAGTGGAAATGTCAAATACAAGAGGGTATAGGTTTAAGATGAGAGGGGAAAGTTTAAAGGAGGCGGTGCGAGGCAAGTTTTATTACACAGGCATTCAAACAGACACATGAACAGGCAGAGATTCGAGGGATATAGACCATGTGTAGGCAGATGGAATTAGTTTATCTGCCTGCACATCCTTAGAACAAAAGTGGTTGAGTGTTAATGGTGTGTTAATTTATTATTAAGCTTAAGGTGGAGAGCATACGTTGATTGATTAAGTATCTCATGCATGAGGAATATTTTGTTAATTACTTTATTTCTACATTTGATATACTGAAAAGATTTAAAGAAAAATGAGCAGCAGATAGTTTCCTTTGGAAGGCACCTTTGTTAGCTTTCTCCTGGACCTGCCATCGTGGTCAACATAGACATGGTAGTTCATAGCCAGACATGAGACAGAATGCCTACATCTCGGCTGACTCCTTTTTGTTATGGTCTGTTGCCCCCGGGGAAACTGTAACCTGATTCATGGGCGGCACAGTGGCTCAGTGGTTAGCACTGCCAACCTCACAGTGCCAAGGACCTGGGTTCGATCCCAGCCTTGGTCTGTATGAAGTTTGCACATTCTCCCTGTGTTTGCGTGGGTTTCCTCTGGATGCTCCGGTTTTGTCCTACAGTCCAAAATGTGCAGGTCATGTGAATTGGCCATGCTAAACTGCCGATTGTGTCCAGGGATATGCAGGCTAGGTGGATTAGTCATAGGAAAGGCAGGATTAGAGGGCTAGGGTAGGAGGAGTGGCGAGTCTGGGTGGGATGCTTTTCGGAGAGTTGGTATTAACCTGATGGGCCAGAAGGCCTGTTTCCACGCTGTAGGGATTCTCTGATCAGTCTAGACTGGATTTGTTTCAGACTCCAACTCTAGGATGGTGCTAACCTTTTCACCCTGTGCAGTCTGTGAACATTGGCGCAGTTGAACTAACAGAGGAGCACATTCATTGATCTGAAGCATTAACTCCATTCCCCACTCTACAGGGACCGCCAGATCTGCTGCATGTTCCCAGCAATTTCTGAGTTTAACTCCAATCCCAGACTCGACCCTGTGGATTGGGTTGTGCATTCTCTATTAAACCCTCCAGGGAAACTCCAACGTGCCATCTGGAAGCAGTTGGATCAAAAAGCAGAAAATGCTGAAAATATGCAGCAAGTCAGGGAAGGAACCTGTGCCAAGAGGAGAAAAGTCTCAAATGAACAGGTTAGAGGAAGGACAGAATAAGCAAAAGGAGTAGATGAAACATAAGGAAGGAAGGAAAGAAAGGACTTGTTTATAAATCCCAGCTGGAGAATTGTGTACAGTTCTGAGTGCTACACTTTGTAAAGAACACAAAGGCTTTGGAGAGGTACAGAGAGATTTACTGGAATAATTTCAGGGGTGAGGGATTACAGCTACGTGAATAGACTAGAGAAGGTGGGTTGTATCCCTGGAGCAAAGGTGATTGAATGTTAATGGTGTGTTAGTTTATTATTAAGTTTAAGGTGGAGGGCATTGATTGATTGATAAAGTATCTCATGCACGAGGAATATTTTGTTAATTACTTTATTTCTACATTTGATATACTGAAAGCATTTAAATAAAAATGAGCAGCAGATAGTTTCCTTTGGAAGGCACTTTTGTTAGCTTTCTCCTGGATCGGCCAAGGAATCTATCAACAGGCCCAGTCAGTGTGTTGTTTAGGCTGAGTGCCTGCCCTTCTCCTGTGGTTACATCCGCACTCTGGTGTCCCTGGAGAGGGAGCCTGGTATCCAGTACAGTTGAGGCTTTCTGAGTCCAGTGGGCACTGAGGGCTAGAATGTACTGTAAAGTTTTGGTTTTCATTGCTGTGTTCCTTTTAAGGGATGGTTTCATAGAATCCCTACAGTGTGGAAACAGGCCATTTGGTCCAACAGGTCCACACCAACCCTCTGAAGGGCATCCTGCCCAGGCTCACCCCCTACCCTACCCCTGTAATCCTGCATTTCCCATGGCTAATCCACTTAACCTACACATCCCTGAACACTATGGGCAATTTAACAATGTCCAATCTATGTAACCTGCACATCTTTGGACTCTGGCAGGAAACTGGAGCACTCGAGGAAACCCACGCAGACACGGGGAGAATGTGCAAACTCCACCCAAACAGTCACCAGAGACTGGAATTGAACCCGAGTCCCTGGCATTGTGAGGCAGCAGTGCTAACCACTGAGCCACTGTGCCACCCTATTTGATTTAGCCAAAGTAGGAAAAGTTTCCATTAAAGTTTTGTTTATTCCTCTGTCCTTTTTAAGAGGTTGATCATTGCTCATTTGCTTTATTCTGAATTGCTCAAATATGTATAAGTTTATAAAAGGTTATGGGTTGGATTTTCATCCTAGAGGGTCTTGGTAAATTTGCCAAGCTTATCTTGGGAGTTGGTGCCCTCAGAGGCAGTATATTCATTCTGTGTAATGAGGGAGTGATCCCTGGAGTCAGGCCCTTTACCCCAAGAATAGTTTGGAGATAGCAAC